GTGCTAAAAACGCAAGTGACTTAGCTCATTTGTTAACAAGAAGCCCTCTCGACTTCAAACAAAGACAAGTATAGTGACAACGATGTTAAAATGGTATAACAGACTAACCAATTTCCGCACAAAAACATGGTTTGGGGATTACAAACGTATCCAATAAACTTTTGATATTGACATGGAGAAAAGATACTAGCGATTCTAATATGACGTTCTTATTTCGCTTTAAAAACAAAACCGCGTTCTAATGTCAGACCACAAAATATGTTTGACACATGCGCACAAACAAACGGTTTACATTCTCGGTATTTTCATCTTTATCCTTATAAAACATATATATTAAGGCTGCTTATACATGTATAAAATTAAACTATATATTGTTATCAAAACAACATATATTTACTCTGATTTTAGTTTTTAAACTTATTAAATATGAAAATGTAATGTACATAGTACTCGATGGGGACAAAACGGGAACAACCAGATATTTCCAAGGTATTTTCGTACTCTTCGCCCTATACAAATACCGTATTTGTCCTATTAGAATCGAAATAATTCCATCATGTCATGCTCTATGCTCATTTTAACATGGGTAGGCATTATACTATACTTGACCATATTTTACACTTTGCTAAAATACATAACATGAAGGAATTATTTCTTAAGTATAATGCCTACCCATGTTAAAATGAGCATAGAGCATGGCATGAAAGAATTATTTCTTATACATCACTAATTCGATTTTTACGAATATGAAGTTATGCATGGATGCAATGAGGTACTCCTCATAACAGATCTTAGGTCGGTTCAAACCAATTTTTCATTGATTCTGTGTGGATTCAAAAATATATTTGTAGAACTATATAGTAAATAATGATATATCTTCAAAATAAATACAAGTTGGAAACTTTTGTCTGTTTCTAAAAATAGACCGAGATTAAAAAACTGTCAAAATAGGTCCAATTTGGGTACCCTCACTTTATATATATAATTTATTTTGAGAACCGGGACCCAGGGCTCGTTTTCTGAATAAACTGCAAACTGACATGCATCTTGAACTCAGATATTCAATGTCACAGAACCCAAATTGCACACATTTAGCAAAAGTAGCAGCGGAAATCTTACAAGTTTTCTTAGAGACTAAATAATTTTAAATATTTTCATGATTTGACATTTTGCGCGTCTTTCAACATAGCTAAATATATTTAAATACACACAAAACGTTCACAGTATATATATATCAACCTGGAAAAAGTCAAATCTACGGAAATGTCGCCATGCGACGTCCACGAAAAGTCAATTTCTAAAAATGAACAATTGAAATATGTTACAGGCATCCATTTCTAAAAATGATTAGTAAGCATGGACTATTGTCAAATTGTTCTGAGTATTTGGAGAAATGAAACAAAATAGATGTGAATTCAAGCATGGATGCAATTTGGGTACATCTCATTACAGAATTATGGATCGTTTGGCGGTCGGTTCAAACTCATTTTTATATGATTCAACATAGATTCGAAACTAAATTGGTTTAAATATATAGTAAATAAGGATACATCTACAAAATAAACACATAATGGAAACTTTTGTCTGGATCATAACTAAAAGTAGGTGAAAAAATGTCAGAATATGTGCGATAGACTATTTTCATATAACCGACATTTGACTCAGAAAAATATAATTCTTCGACAGGTTACATACTACATATGTGATAGAATATCCTGGTACTCGGTCAGATAAGAGCAACCAAAAGAAGTAAAATCAAACATATAATCGGTGCATTTTGGGGGAAAGTTAACTGTTTTTCGCTGATTTTGTCGTGTATAGAAAACATCAAACAGTTAATTTTACCCTCAAATTGTACTGATTGTAATATTAATTTTACTTCTTTGAGTTGCTCTTACATGATGTCCTGCCACAGAACAGGTAATCTCTAAGGTATATGTAACATGTTGGAAAAAATATAAACTCCGGAGTCAGAAGTCGGTAATATGAAAATGGTCTATTTTGTATCCTCGCGTTAAGGATTAGAGATTAACCCTCACACCGAAATATATCCGCTTTATAAGAAACAAACCTTAGCTGCATTAGATGAGGACTGATCATCTAAAAATCCCCAAATACGGATCCGCAAATTAGAAATATTTTTGGTGACTTGTTTGGTCTGTGAGCTGTAGATATTTGGCCGTACTTTCATTTCTTGTTGAAGACTTTCTTCGGAAGCAAACTCAGCAAAATCATCCTCCACCACTTTTTTGCAACAGTCAGTCATTTCGGAATATTCAATTTGCCAGTATGCAAGTTCCGATTCCACCAAACGATAACATACATTATGTGGTATATGAAGCTGCCCGGATTTGTAGTAATCCAAAATGTAATGAAACAAAACTGGATTTCTGTCGAAAAAGTAAGAGTTCGTACTTTCTTCATAGGAACCACTGGTTGTGTCCAAATCTGCTAGTCTGGTCTTTGGAAATCGCTTAAAATGATCTTTACTGGTTTTAAAAACTTCTCCTCCAACGTTTATAACAATTGTGTTACTTTTCTCTTCTTTAGTATTTTGTGTCATTTTTTTTATCAAATCTTTCCATCCCATACTTTTTCCTGGAAGGGGGCGCGTATGACTGGCCATTGAATAGCAAGCCATCTTGTTAAATTGTCGATATTGTACTTTTATAGACCTTTGTTACATCAAAACGCAGCTCTTATACAACGGGCGGCCATTAAAAGTTATGACGTCACTGAAAACGTTGACTTTCGCCGCCGCGGTTTAATCATTATCTTTTTGCCGCGATTTTAAGGGCATGCGAAACAGAAGAGATCTGACATTGACCCTTCTTGAAATCTTGACACAAAGTAAATGCCGAGTACGCACTCTCGTAAGATGAAGACCATGACTTATACTTCTCGATATATTTCAGATTAATTGTGCATTTTTAAGGTACAACCCGAAAATCTTATTTTTCATTACTTTTCCGATAAAAAAAAACCAACATAACTTTTAAACGGAAATATATGTGTATGTCTTCTTTATGTATGTATGCCACCAACCACATTGAGGTTAAACTGGGCATTAAACGGGTTTATTCCCGGTTGTCCCACTTTAAAAAAAAATAGAGTTCTGATGGTCCCACATCAAAAGTTTTGATTTCCTGGGAGCAATACATTTGCGCGCATTCATGTCAACAGTTATTATTTTTGAACATATTTGTAATTTTGAATTATATATTTTTTTTCGCTTTGAATTATTTAATAATTATATATTAAGGGATCCTCCATGTAATTTTGTGTCTCTTTAAATTATTTTAAAATTTCAAAACCACCACATATATCAAACTAAGAGGGCTTGGTGCATTAACAGTTGTACGAAGACGTGAGATAGAGAAAACAGAGTATCTGAGGGGGCAATTCCGAAAATACCAGCATAGAGTAGTTGACTGAATTTATTTTCTTAAAGCAATGGCTTCAAAAATTCAGCACGTACATACAGGTAAAATCGGCACTTTTACTCTTCAGATTTGCCTATGTTTATATATTTTGATCTTTAAATACGTCCAGGAATGCATGTGCATAATAAAACGGACTTATCCTGCTCAAAACCCTCTTCCTTCTCCTCGTCGGTGAGCAAGGGACTATCTGTAGACTAACGGAAGGGGTACTCGTTAATAGTTAATAGTTAATAGATAATCTACCCTAGGTATTTTTTTGCAACTTTGATTAAATATTCTTGAAGTCGTGCACATTCGACTGCAAAAGAAAAAAATGGGGAGAATGAGCTTACTTTTCTATAGCTAAACAGAAAATCTTTGTTTTAAATGTAACATGTGCATATTTTACCGGCCTTTTCCGTTACCTATCAGTCTATATCTTTACAGGGGTTGTACACATATTTTAATCGAGAGCGTAGTGCTTATCGATCTTAAAATTCGTTCAGTTCAAAACATTTTTCTTTATAAAAAAAAATCTGATTAAGAAATAAATTTGAAGTTTACACTTATCTAAAATAGAGACTGAGTATTGTGTATGTATTGGCCTCTAATATCATATTATAACACATCCTTTGCTTGTGAAAAATATTTTGATAAAAAGTGTTTTGCACTTCAGCTTATCTTTTCTTCATACAGTCAAAATTATGTTGCCAATGAGTACTGCAATACTAAGGCATGACGATCATAATTTTTCAATGGGGGTGTTTCGATCATGCATTTAAAGCGGAAAACAGAAAAAAGTGCTTTCATAAGTAGAGCGGTCTTTTGAGAACGGCAACTGACCGGTTGCACATGGGACATTCTTCTGGTTATCCTCTTCTCTGTCATATGACCGTTCTGGTTTTTTTCAAAAACACTACTATTGAGTGCCGCAGGTGAGGCCCAAGGCCAATGATTTTTTTTCAACGGATAAAATGACCCCCCCCCCCCCCTTTCCCAAATTAAATAAAAGTGGTAAAAAGTCTATTCAAGGTACACGCGTTAGTAATTATTGGTTGACCCAGAAATGTAATGACGAAACACAGACCAAGAACCAGAAGTGTACGCCGTTTCAAAAAGTATTACATATTTTTTGCAAGAGGAGACACGATTGTTAAAGTATCACCAATGAAAAGTGTCATCTGTAGAGTTTCAATAGTTAACGTGTAAAATTTTATATAAGAATGGATTATACCAAATTAATTTTTGTTTTGATATTAATTTAACCTCTGATTTGACTATGCATATATAATGTGAGGGTAGCCATGCAGTTAGCACCCAATTTTGACCGTTTTTTCGTTTTCATTTCTTTAAGAAACAAAATTTTCATTAATTTATTCTGTATTTTTTGTAGATGTATCCTTATTTACTATAATATAGTTCTACAAATTAATTTTGAACTCATACTGAATCATAGAAAAACGTGTTTGAACCGAACAGAAAGAGCCGATTTGGTTCGCTCCTTGTTTTTATGTTACTACCCTAACTTTTTATCATAGAATACACACACACTTATATATATATCAACAACTTACTCACCTTAGCGCTTTTTGACGATGTAAAATCGTCCAAAAACTCCCAGATGCGAATTCTCCAAGATGAGTAATCATAACGATTATACGTTTTACTGTGAACACTATAAAGGTTATTTGGAACGTTCCTGACTTCATCTATCAATGCTTCATATGATGCTATTTCATTTAGAGACTCTTCCAAATATCTTCTGCAACAATCGGCTAAATTTGAAAAGCCCAGCCCCCAGAATGACAAGTCATTTTCAATTTGCCGTACACATACATCACGAGGAATGTGCATTACTCCGTCTCTATAGAAATCTAAAATGCACTGGAAGATAACAGGATTTCTGTCAAAAAAGTAAGATTTTGTTTCGGAATCATAATTTGGGCTTGTAGTGTCAAGCTCTGAAAGCCGTGTTCTTGGAACGTTGTGTAAAGTACCTCGGTAAGTCTGGAATATTTGTCCTCCGACGTTTATTTTAACTACTTCGCCAGTGGCTTGAACAAACCTATTCAAATGTGCAGCTAACTGCAATTGATAATTTGATAATTGTGGATGTGCGAGTGAATGTCTTGAACTACCTGTATGAAGCGGCCCTCTATCGTCGTGACCTTGAAAAGTTGATTTTCGTCGTGTTGGCAAGGACAAAAAATGAGTCAGAGTCATTCTCTTTCCAAATTCGATAAGTCATTTTCAGTACCTTTGTAGCGTTTCAGACAAAACATGAATTTTTCTGATTTTACCCTTTGTCCTTACAATGTTTGTCTAAGATGGGCGCGGCCATTTATGATTTCATTTTGCTTTCGAAACCTGACGTCACACAAAAATTCAAGCATAACGTCGCAATTAGATGTCATATTTGTTGGCGCTCTTAAACATTGTAATCAAGACGTTAATCTTTGACGTCTCGACAATAGAGCTATGCACGGCGGAGATTATTCTCTAATTTCAAATTATTATCAAAATTCCATAACAGCAAAATTTCAATAATACAATATCCGTATTTTCATGCCAGAACCGAAGTACAGGCAACAGAGCTTATGATACCCATAAACCTTGCACACTATAAAAGCCTTTTATCGATTATTACTTAGCTTAACGTCATGTGGCAAATATCCCATGTATATTCTTGACATTTTCATAATTAATTACATTTATACAATACTTCCTCTTTAATAGCTATAACTGATTGTATAAAGAAAACCTTTGTGGGATGAGCAATACAAAACAAAACTTATTCAACATTCTAATTTCATAAACATAATGATCTACTCATTGGCATTAAGAATTCGATCACGTTTTTTTTTCTTCGGAAAAGACTGTCCAAAAATTAAGAAACATTTTTAACTAAAAAATATAATATCTACAATTAGAGTAAATGTATATTTTCATCGCATACTGAATATGTTACTGGGGAGGTGTGGCCATGATATACACACGTGCTAGTATATTCTAAATTGATTGCTGTTCTTATTTTGATCGTTGCTGGAGAGTTAAAGGTTGCAGGAAAAAGACTATCAGCAAATCCAGTGCGGCTCCAGTATTTCATATAGATTATAATTAACAAAAAATGAAAAAAAAACTTGAGGGCAGTAACCCGAAGTTCTTAAATAATCAATTATCTTACCTCCTATACATTTCGAGGAATATGATTGGTTAAAAGCAACCGCGTGGAGACTGTGTATATTCCATATTGGGTTTGTAGGCGGGGCTTATTTCAATACACGGTTAGCCTGGCATCCCGGCCCGATCTAGCTGCACGTCGCAAAACCAAAACCAAAATTCTATAGAATGAAAAACTAAGTATAGATTTTCGTAAGAAAAAAAAACTCTTTATTTATTCCGGAGGTACAAAATGCAAAAAGTATGCGTGCAGTAAGGTCTTCAACAGCAATGGAGTTGAAATGAAAAATATTTCGCTATTTTTCGTTATCTGTAGTAAATTTTAATAATGAAAGGGAGCCATGAATTAAGGTCAATAATTTCGTGGGTAAATTGTGAAAGATAATGGTTATATCTACCGGCATGTTTTGGGAAAAATCTCTTCAAACAAATAAACGCACTATATATAGAATAAGGAGATGTGGTATGATTGCCTATTAAAGACAACTATCCACCAGAGACCAAATGACGTACCGTATATGTAACGAAATGTCACTGTATGGCTTTCAACAATGAGCGAAACCCATACCACAACGCAAGCTATAAAAGGCCCCGACATAACAAAATGTAAAACAATTCAAACGAGAATAAAACAATTTCGATTTATGTACAAAACTTCAAACGAAAAAAAAAATATGATGATAGCCTTTTGTGAAGTATCAGGCGACATAATCGTACATCTTCCAAGGATCCTCATCGGAACAATTTGCATTTATCCTTAATCTTTTGAATATTCAAATTCAAATAAATTCTACAAACTTTTCTTTTGTGAATGAAAGCAATTCTAGCACGTACATATATATAAACTTACTATTTCTAATGAAGAAAATATAGTAGACGATATAAAAATAAGAAGATGTGGTATGATTGTCAATGAGACAACTCTCTATCAGAGACCAGATAACGTAGAAAGCTAGCAACGATCAAAACCCATACCGCATAGCAAGCCATGAAAGGCCCGAAATGACTAGGTAAATCAAATGAAACGAGAAAACTAACGGCCTGATTATGTACAAAACAATAAACGAAAAACAAATATGATATACAACAACAAAAACCAACCACTGAATTACTGGCTCCTGACTTGGACAGGCACATACAGAATGTGGCAGGGTTGAACATGTTCGTGGGCGCTCCAATCCTCCTCCAAACCTGGGACATTGGTGTAACAGCTCAACAGAACAACACTATAAAAAAACAGTTGAAATGGGCTTAACTCATCAGATCGATACGTTACAACAACGACTAAACGGAAAGCTGCTACTGAATACCACACGTATATATTTTCTCCATAAGGTTCCAAAGAAACTGAACACTCTTCGTTTTATATCCACATACAGTAACAATTAACAAACATTTCTGTTCATCTGGCTAGTGCCCGTTAAGGAACTCCTTATGAGGGGCGGACAGGGTAAAGGAAGACAGGAAGAGAGGGGGTGGGAGAAAGGGGAAAGGGACGGGAGAAAGGAGAGAAGAGACGGGAGAAAGGAGAGAAGAGGCAGGAGAAAGGAGAAAAGGGAGACAAAAATTTATATAAATATTAATAAAAGTGAGCTGGAAAATAATTATTCTATTAAATTGAAAATTAAAAGCTTCAAGAAAGTGCAAATAAATTCATAGTAACGAAAGCAACCTCATTAAATTCTCTGAGCGTCGTCATTAATTCATTATGATCTCTTATATACGGAGAAAGACTGAAAACTAACAATTTCAAGAATTTTATACTGAGTCCTTGCATGGTTCTACAATTTGTGGATACCTGTATCTTGGCATTGCACAAGGTCATATTTTTCTCTGCTGTTTATAACATCTCTAAACCAAATCCATTAGATGTTGGATGTGTACTGATCGATAATTAAGTCTTATATGCATGATTATTTTTATTAGTTGCTAGTGGCTTTGAACTAGCTGTCAGTAACTGCGAGTACTCTCAGATCTGTACTTTAAGTTAGTGTATTTGTGTTGTTGGGATGTACAAGTACCCGGCCACGTCCACTCTGTGTTTTTGTTATGTGTATTTCTATTTGTTTCCATCTGATGAGTTAAGCCTTTTTCAACTGATTTTGCTAGTTCGTTAATTCTTATGGTGTACTGTTACACCACTGTCCTAGGTTAGGGGAGCGTTGGGGTCCCACTAACATGTTTAAACTCGCCACATTCTGAATGTATGTACCTGTCCCAAGTCAGGAGCCTGTAATTCAGTGGTTGTCGTTTGTTGCTGTGTTACATATTTGTTTTTCGTTAATTTTTTTAACATAAATTAGGCCGTTAGTTTTCTCGTTTAAACTGTTTCGAATTTGTCATTTTTGGCCGGCTTTTATCATGTACAAGAATTACGGACATTTCAAGGCGAGATAACTCGTGTTACTTTTCTATTCTGGTTCCCATCTTGTTCTCATCGTCTGGTGACCAGGAGATATTTTATACAATTATCCCGAAGTGAAATAACTTTTAAGGGTTGACAATTTTGGATATTCATCGCTTCTAAGGGGCCACAATTGTTTTATTATACCGAACTAACAGTGGAAGGGCATTTTGAATCATTGTAAAAGCACTTACCCTTGAGTCAGTAACAAACACAAGTTGACGTTCAAAAATAGATTAGACCACTTGCACATTAATCGGCGTTTCGCTTTCAAATCTGCAAAATATATCGACCGTAAATAGGTGGGGCAAAATACGTCACAGTTTTTGCTTGTTTACCATAGCGATTCCACAAAACAAATTGTTTCATTCTGCTATTCTATTACAATCACGGTGTTATCTTTTAAATCATTGACAATTTCAAAGATTCAGCTGTATTTACGAGATAGAGGAATAGTGGCAAATGGTTATAAACAGAGAGATTTGGCCAGTTTAGCTGAGGCGGTGGAAAAATTGAAGATTCCGTATGATCCCAATTTTCTAGCAGACGACGTCGACTCTACCCTACAAGATCGCCTGAGAAGAGCCGGTTGTAGTTTTTCAGACCCGTTTACCTTAGAAAGGTAATTAAGATAATTTTCTATTCATTTCTATGGCTTTTACCCTACTCTGCATACTTATTTAAACCGGGTTTTGACCGTTTTTTACTAAGGGGGTCCCAACGCGTGGCTATCCACGTAGAATATGTATGCCCATACTAAACTTGCCATAAAATTAACCAAAATTCGTACCTTTACTTAACTTAAAATTTTTATTATATCCCTTGTCGTTTGAATGAGTTATACAGTCAAAATAAGTCAGAAAGTCATATTTTCGGCCTTCTTTTAATTTACGGGCTCCCAAACTATATAAAAATATGCTCAACTAAACTTTACCCAAACCCATACCTTACCATGACAGTAGCCCTAAATATAAAACCTTACTTTAACCTAGAACATCACATATATGCTAACAACATTGACCATAAATGAACCCTAAACCTAAAGTTTTTTTTTCATGATTTACCTAACCCATAACCTGAACATAACACTGTCTTCCCTAGAAGCTAACCCTTAGAACCTAGTTTCAACCGTAACCCAAAAGTTAAAAGTACCAATAACCACTGAAAATAGGTTAAACCTAATCCTTACACACAGGGCCATGTACCGCAACCATATATAGCATAGCACCAGTCCCATCTTTAAAACCTAACCCTTACATTACCAAACCATACATAGCACATGTTAGTCACATCCCTTAAACTTAACCCTTACCTAACCCAACCATAGCACAACTTGTGCCACAAGTCCAACTCTACCATACATGCCATATCACTAGTCCCATCCATAAAACCAACCTCTGTCTTAACCTTAAAACCTAGTTGTAACCCTAACCATAAATAAACCATATATAACCCTAAAGTACTGGGATCCCTAAAGTAAAAGAAGGGTCATTCTTCCTTACCTGTGTGTCTGAAGCCAATTACTAAAATACATTTTTCTAGCAGTATAATGAAATCATTTTTAAAACTCATATTATTTCAGTATTTTTTCAAAAATATGATTATTCATGTCAGTCCAAAACAATTTTATTAAGGGAGCTACGATTTCACTTTGGGTGGGTGGGTGGGGGTTAGGCTAGGATGAAATTTGAAAAAAAATAGGCATGACAGAAGTTTTGAGTAAAAAAAAGGCGGGTTAAGGCACTTTGCAAAAAAAAAGGCAGGCTATGACAATTCATGTAAAAAAAAGTCAGGATAAACTAATAAATAAAAAAGGCAGGACCGTATAGAGTGAAAAATAAAAAAGCAGGACAGAGATTACAATTTAAAAAAAATGCAGGACAAAATTTTCCCCCACCCCTTAACTATCAAATAGCTCCCTAAGAAGAAACAACCCTACATATATGCAAACTTCTAAATATTGAAAACTTTTAAGACTTTAAACTTTTTAAAAAATAATAATATGACAATAACTGTTCAATTTTCTATAAACTTTTTCCATTAGAAGTAAATAGACTCAGTTCAAAAGAATATCCATTTATAGCAATTTTACATTATAATTAAAGGGATAGCCCATGGCCCCTAAAATTTAGTCGTTCAAAACATGTAGCTATTACATTTTTTTATACAATTTTACTTGATCAATAAGGAAGCAGGACAAATCGCCCCACTGGCAAATCGCCCCACTTTTTCACTAACTCGCCCCACTTTTAAAAAAATCGCCCCAAACTGGTTTACCAACTCGCCCCACTTTTTCAAAAATCGCCCACTTGTGAAAAGGGTTAAATCCTGTTAATTTTTCTCCTGCCAACTCGCCCCACTTAATGAAAAAAAGGTAAAATCTAGATGAATATATAATTTTCAGGTCTGCCAACTCGCCCCACTTAAATGAAAACTTATCTACACAGAACGCAAATTTATTAGATTATTATTATTGAAATTAAATATCTTTAATATAAATATTAACTGCCAAAAACTTAAGAATTTTAGGGTTTAATGAAATAAAGTCATTGTATGAGTAAACTTTTGAATTGCAAGAATTAAGCGGATATATTACCACAATTATCATAATTTTTCCACATTGATTTTCTTTTTATTTCAAGTCCAACAAATTCATGTACAGTAAGTATATAGATTAAGATCTACTTAACATTTTGTTGTACATGTAATATAATATATCATTAAACATCTATTTAGAAAATACTTTATGCATTTTCATATGTATAAGTATATATAACTTTCAACTGTCTAGTATATATAACTTTCAACTGTCTGAACTGCATGTACTGGCGAGGGCTCATATTCCCAATCAGTATTTTTCACCTTACTATTATACATGTCTTACTAGAATTATCTGTTAATCTGTTAATTTCATACCAGCAATGAATTCTGTAGTGTTAATTTGAAAACCTTTTATTTTTTCAGATATGTTGAAGATTTTTCTGGTGTACCTGACTTTTCCTTGTATGACATTTTCAATTATTTGTTGTTGCACCGTTCAGATTACGATAAAAAGAAGTTGAAAGCTTATAAGAGTGCAGAGGACTACCGCTTGTTTTACGATGGACATGTCCAGGAAATGAAAGTCAACTACTTAAAAGATGACAGCTCAGTTTGTGTTTTTATTGGAAAGGTGAGGCCAACACAGAGGGCAAAGACGTTGACTGGGAAGATGACCTACCAGTGTTGGTTTGTTGTTGAGAAGACTCTAGGTGATGTTAAAGCAGCTTACTGTGAATGTCCAGGAGGGTAAATATAAAAATATTATATTTGACAAATTCTCGACCCACTATAGTTTCTATTGTAATATGAAAATAAGAAGATGTGGTATGATTTCCAATGAAACAACTCTCCACAAGTGACAAAATGACAGGGAAATTAACATCTATAGATAACCGTACAATCTTCAACAATGAGAAAAACTCAAAGGGAATAGTCAGCTATAAAAAAATTGAAATGACAAATGTAAAACAATCCAAAGAAGAAAGCTAATGGTCTGATTTATGTACAAAATAATGTAAGAAAAACAAATATGAAATATTTCAACAAACAATGACCCTTTTATTACAGATTCCTGACTTGGGACATGCACATACACAATGTGGTGGGGTTAAACTAGTTTGTAAGTACATTTGTATGACAGCCTCAAGTGCAGGGTGATGAGGTAATATTTCATTGCTATTTGTCAAAACTCAAGGTTGGTTTTCTAGCTTCTGTGTCCAGTATTTGGCAGGTAGAAGTTAACAATTCTGCTGATGTAATTTGATGACGTGCAATCTAAAACGCTCATGTTTAGTTAACCGTAAAAATCTATAAAGATATTAGTATTATACAGATCATTTCACAAATGAACATGTATGCATGTACTAACTTTCTCTTAATACAATTTTATTGCAGTGCTGATGGAGCTTGTCGTCATGTTGCAGCATGCTTATACGAGTTGGAGGCATTTGAGAAGAAGTCTGTTACTGACGGTCCTTGCCAGTGGAAGAAACGAAAGAGGGAACACGATGAACCAGTAGAGGTGGAACGAATGAAGATTATCAAGCCAAGGTTTTAACTTTATCATTTTTATCTTTAGCACTGGTAAAATGAAAAAATTAATAAAAATATTCTAGATTTCCCTCATATATTACAGTATTTAGTATATATAGAATAATACATGGCAAAATCCGTATCGCATGCTGTATCACCACCAGAAACCAATATCAGTCCCGAGAGCCGAAGGTCCCGATCGAGGGCTGATATTGGTCAAGTGGTGATACAGCATGCGATACGGATTTTGTCATTTATTATTCTGTTTATCATATATTTAAATAGAATCAGATTAATGTCATATACGTTTTTTTTTAAATCGTCGGAAAATATAACAAACAAAAGAACATAAGGATTTTCCTGTATTTTTCCAGGTGACTTAGTTTTTTGTTATAGACTTCCTTATTTGCTTAATATCCACATCGTAATGTCCCCTACAACCTTATTACATGCTCAATATAGAGCTATGAAACTCGCAAATAATATTCTTTAAGACCATGTATTTAAAAGCATTCACTAACAATAGTGTCAACTGTTCCCTCCTGCAGAATACAACCCACCTTCCCAATATTTTTTACTACAATCTGAACTCATTTGTATACATAAATATGGACAACAATGTTACCATGTATCATCTATTCAAATATTATTAACAGACAAACAGGGGATTCCTATATACACAGTCATTGGACAAAAGTGAGTTCCCACTAAAAAAACTTATTGTATCTATTTTATACAAATCGCTTATAAAGTTCTACTGGGTAATATTTTTTTGGAAAAATATAGATTTTAGTTCAAATGATATGACATTTCTTGAGTGGAAATTCACTTTTTTCCTATGCCAGGAAATACAGCAACTGGACGTCATAGGTCAAACGTTGACGTCATTTGATTTATGATGTCACGCCAGGTATGTGATACAGATTTAGCTATGCGATACGGGTTTAGCTATGCGATACGGGGTATGCGATACAGGGTATGCGATACAGACTGGAAAAAAGAACCTTTATTAGATATACAAAATTGCTATATTTTGTACTAAATATATGATAAATACCAGGGGCGGATCCAGGATTTTTGAAAGGGGGGGCGAAGTATGTAAAATTGTTTTTGACCTTTTTTTGGCTAAAAAAACATAAATTACACTTTTTAACGGTTCCTGACGTGGGGCATGTATATTATATAGTTAAAGTGTAAGGGTTGAACATTTTTGATGCCGTATTCTCCCCATTATTATAAAATGAATAGATGGATCCAAAGCTATGTACAAATATATTTGATGTGGGATTTGTCAGTAAAAAATGGACATAGAAAATTCTCGTTTGTTGTATGTTTAGTTAGCATATCTTCACAGATTTCTTGTTGTAAACAAGATATACGCCGGGCTATTCAATGAAATTTACAATACGACCGACACGAGTTAAGAAAGACAAACAAGCAATTTCTATCCAAATGTTTGGTTGAAATGTTTCACCCAACAAGGTAAGTGAGGGATTCCAAATCAACCAAAGGCTACGAATGAGTCTAAAATGGCAACGAATTTAGGAACGACGGTCGACAAATGGAGACATAAAGGCCAAGCAGGCAGGTTGCAGTCGGGCCTTGAAAAAAGTATTCAATATATCAGTTCGGCGAAACAGACATTCCGGTCAGATATGGGAATTACATGCAAACCCCTGGCCACAAAAAAAATTAAGACCGTTTTTTATTCATCATGTTCATTTAATGCTAAATAATTCTGTTGGAAATTTTCAAAAAAGTGGACAAGATTATTGATTTCAATCCAGATACGACTAGAATTTTTGTTTAAGGCAAAAATCAGGGTCAGAACTTTTTCTCTCAAATATCTCAGAGTGCCCTTTCAAATCAAATGGTCCGTACCTTAGACTTTAAATCTATCTAGAGCTTACTGACTGGGGATCATTATTCAGCTATGTTATTAATAGGCTGGGGCGTGTTGGGTTAAACAACGGTTTTCGTAGGTAAATAATATTGATGTGGAAATTTTTTTTTCATGAGAGTGTAATAGGGTATTACTTTCTGTTTGGTGGAATTGTGAAATAGAAGTCAATACGTTCTTGTTCAATCCTTTGTCGCTTTGAATGTGTCATGCTTGTCATCCTCAGCCTCGACGCACTGGTCAACCCCACCGTAGCAAATCACATGACTTTGACATAATCAATAATATATTACAGTAAATACGAGCGAAAAATATCTTTATAAGTAAAGAATTGTCGCATAAAAATTAAATACACGGGAAATGGCAAAGTTTACGAAGTCTAGTCTGATTAATCATTTTACAAAAAAAAAAAAAAAAAAAAGTGCAAGCAAAGGCGGGGGCGTACGCCCTCTACGCCCCCCTCTGGATCCGCCACTGAATACATGTATATCATATATATATGTTACACACAGATCGACATCTGGCCTCGAATCTAAAAAAAAACATTTCAATGCATATTTTTTTTATATATTTATTAGGAAGTTATTTTAATAAGAACTTTGTTTTCATTTTTCTTGTCGCTAAATAGTCTTCTTGTTGCTAAAATATTCTTCTTGTCACTTCTTGAAGTTTCTTTCGCTACTGAAAACCTTGAAATCCTAAATACATCCCAAGTCAGGAGCCTCTAGCCTTTGTTAGTCTTGTATTATTTTTAATTTTAGTTTCTTGTGTACAATTTGGAGTTTAGTATGGCGTTCATTATCACTGAACTAGTATATATATTTGTTTAGGGGCCGGCTGAAGGACGCCTCCGGGTGCGGGAATTTCTCGCTGCATTGAAGACCTGTTGGTGACCTTCTGCTGTTGTCTGTTCTATGGTCGGGTTGTTGTCTCTTTGACACATTCCCCATTTCCATTCTCAATTTTATACAATGCCAACATTTAATGCTTTACCAATAAATACATTTAAATATTGTAATATCCCAAAATAGGAGGATGGAAGCATGTGTATCATCAGCAGACCATGTAGTATCCAGTTTTGATCCTAGACAGATGGTTGACAGAGCTGCAGAAGACGAGAAGATAAAACAGTTTGCAAGTAAATTAGCACAGGTATAACAACAAATATTTTAACAACACGCCCACCGGTTTTATTGGTGGATACACTATACATTCAAGTACAGCGCCCTCTAGCGACTCCTCTTGAGGTTTGATACTGTCCAGATATCTTTATTATATTTAATTTTTAAACCTCAAAATGAAGTCTTGAGCAGAACTCGTGTCCATTAAAAATAGGTATCATGGTGCTTACACATGGTGCATAGTTATAGCATACACCAACCATTCTTGAGAAGTTAAAGGACTGACAAAATTGGACAGTAACATTTACAAATTCAAAAATATTAACAGCAAAAAATTAATCAAAATAATATTATTTTGTGCCAGACATTTTTGTAACAATATAACACACTTTAATACTACTCATATTTTAATTAATTTTTATTAACAGTGAAAGCTTTATTTAATACTGCATTACTGTTCTTAAATGTTCAATGCAATATCAGTATTTTTTAAAATTTTTGCACTGCAGCACATATATATATATTTATTTCTTATGCAGCAAAAATACTGCAATCTGATTGTTTATTACCCCGCTGTAGATAACACCCCATCCTTGTTCACCCGGGGATAAATAAAATTTTGCCAAAAAATTTAAAAAAATAAAGTTTTGCCAAAATAAAGAAAAAAATATAAAATGTAAAAAAAAAAAAATTTAAATGTAGAAAAAAATAAAATAAAAAAAATTTTACACTGGAAATTTTTCATTACCACTTTTCAATTTTACATCCTCGTTTAAAAATGAGTAAAGGAATTGTTCATAAGAAATAAATTCATTATCTTGGTGTAATCAGGGGTGTACGGAATTTTACACCCCTGATTACACCAAGATAACTAATAATATGCACCATGTGTAACCTTTTTAATTTACAACTTTAAAAAAATTAATTCTTATTTCTAAAAAAGTTAGTATAGAAAAGGTAACAATTTAGTTTGTGAAATTTATGCTTTGAATTTTTTTCAAGTTTATCATTGATAGGAATTTGCAATCAATTCAGCAATTTCAAAACTAATTTAAAAGGTTTTTAAGACAGTTTATAAAAAAATAATTTCTGCTCCTGGCTTTAACAAAACACCACAAAGCCAGTAAAGGTAAAAGTTAAAATTATAAACAAAAAACAAAGAATATCAACAAATTCATTTTTTATTACTTACCAACTCTGAAAAAAATAGCATTAGTAAGAACACACCCTTAAACATTGTGTAAATTTTTCATATTTAATTTTCTTTTTAAATTTTTAACAACTTACTTTTAAGAAAATACATCATATATTGAACAAAAATATTAAAATCATTAAAATGTCCCTCTCACATAAAAATCATACAATATATCTTGTACCATTGTCTAGATTTTCAGTTAATATTTTTCTTCCAATTCTTAAATTCAACAATGTTTTTTTTTTCCTGTAAAATATATAACTAATGCTTTGGTTACTTTTTTTTAATAGATAAATCCAGAGGCAAGAGCACTAGAATTTCTACCCCATAAACCAGTAGATGTGTTACCAATGGACTTTTCAGAGGCAATGCAGGACTTGACAATTCCTACTAAGGCTAAGTATTTTAAAGATAAGTATGTATGTTTAATTGATAATGAAGAGGATATAGTTGAAAAATTTATGGCTAGCTTATCATTCAGTTCAGATGATGTGATGCTTATATCAAAGGCAACTCAGGGCCAGAGTAGCAACAATTTATGGTTCACTATGAGGAAAGGTTTAATTACTGCTTCTAACTTTCAGGCTATAATGAATAATGAGGACCCAGATCTTATTTGCAGCCGAATTATAGGTAGTGAATCACTTTCTGCAAAGAATAAATTCCAGGAAATGGCCTTAGACTGGGGTAGACGCAACGAATCAAAAGCCAGGAACCTATACCAAACAGCTCATGGATTGAAAAGGAATAAATGCATAACTGAAACTGGTTTGGTGGTAAATCCGAAGTATCCATGTATAGGTTGTAGTCCAGATGGAGTGATCAGCTGTCTGCCATTTGCAAAAGGTGGAATTGCAAGAGTTGCCCCCTTCAAAGCCAAGAGATCACTTATGGTGAATCCACGGTCAGCCATAACCTCATCGCCAAACTCCAGTTTTTCCAAGAACCCAGATGCTTGTGTAATCCTGCGGTCTGAAACTGCCCCTGACCACAACTTTGACAAGAAACAGAATGAACCACTTGGTGTTATACCTACCAGAAGTTTTAATGTATTATTATGCTTATAACTTGACCAAGTGATTCTCTGGGCAGAAGGTAATGAGGGTTTTTGAACAAAAAATTCAGTGCAATCTATAACTACTCTGGTTTGAGGGAAATACTTAAAAGATTTTGGCATATTTTCCTTTATTTGGTCTTTAGTGGGCCACTTGATAAGAAAATCCAGTTCCTTCCGCAAAAACACAATCCATGTGGTAAAGATCCTGGAAACAGTTGAAGAACTTATACACAACATATCTGCTAAAACATCTGTGTCCAATCCCTTCCTCAGTCGTACAAGGCTCATCAGGTACTCTTCCCAAAGTTTCAACTCCCTTAATGCTCCCCTTTTCTGTTAAAAAAAAATTCAAGAAAAGACTTTATACATCAATTGTCCAATAATGAGATTTGTTAATTTTTTATTGTTTATTACTTATTTTTGGTGATTTTCATCATTTTTCTGGCTTATGAGATTTAACATGTTAAAGCCAGGGGCAAAATATCTAAATAAACATATCGAATATGGCATTCTAAATAATATTATTAAAAGCCCAACTGACATGTTTAAGATAACATGTACTATTTTTTGGAACTATTTCACACGGAAAGTTAATTTAATCATAACATATGAGATGAATTTTTGTTTGTTTCCACAGAAAATTTCTGTAAATGCATATAATATGGCTATTTTTCATAATTTTAATCTTTGCTTTTATCTGCCTTTCTAATTAAAAACAACCAGTTGACATGGTCCTTAGTCTTATATGTAATAATAGTAGGGTATGTTTACACGAGTTCTGCTCATGACTTGGCATAAAGATACACGTGATATTTTTTCAAATAAATTGTAATGTTCAGTAAACCCTGAAAACTGTTACTTTTCATCATTGGTAATTTATTTTAATAAGTTATATAATGAATACCATTGTAAAAAATATTCAGGTTGATTTGATCACAATTTCATGGTACCATCAGTAAGAACAAAAATCAGTTTATACAAAATTATTATGCCAAGTCGCTAGGGGGCGCTGTTCCAACAGTGTATCCACTAATAAAACCAGTGGACGTTGTAAACAATGCTTGATATATAAACCTTTGATGCAAAACAAGAAATATTTATTGTTTCATTTTTCGTGTTTTTACAGGTAATAATGAAAACCTTGTAGGGGGATGTGAATCAATGAAGAGACACGTTTTTGAGAAATGACCATGTGTTGATTTTTCATATAAAGTATTAACACTGGCCATTGCTTGAATAAGTGCTCTAAATCCATCAAAAAGAACAGATCTGTCTGAGGAAATCTTTCTATTGATGTCGAGGATTTGAATAAAATATAGGTAAGGTTTTAACTAAAGTGAATTATGAGACAGATCACTCACTTGTCCACTGACATCATTCTCTGTATCGTCGAAGCTGTCATCAACCCTAGATGACCCATACCATTACTTCATCCTAGAAGCCTTCAACTCTACGTGACTAAAAACAAGTTTCAAGACATCCAGTGTCATTCCTGTAAATTTACAACAATGAGGCTGTAAAAAATGATAATGTGTTAATGCAACAATTTCAATTGATCTTAATTTTACATCTAAATTTGATTATAGTTAATCCTTTTTTTTTAAATCTCTAAAAAATAATCGAAAAGTCTACATATATTAAATAGACCAATCTTTTCTAAATTAAGAATAATACACCATGCTTTCATTCCAATCTTATATTTATAATACGGAGACCTTTTAAATACCTGTATAGGCTTTAGGCTTCTTTTCCACATCTAAAACAAATAACTGTCTTCTCATGGTCTTCAAGTTGACATTTGTACTGCTGTCAGAATAAGTTGGATGGTAAGTCTGAGATTCTGAATCTGCAATTTCAGTTCAAATATAAATACACGTCGTATAACACTTCTTTCCTCTATCCAACCCTATATTTAAATTTGGACAGGAATTTTTTTTATTTTTTAAGGTCTTGTCCTAAACCAATGAACCAAGAAAATGAGGTCATGGTCAGATAAACGCTGCCAATTGAGACATTGATTTGTGGATTAAAAAACATTTTTCCAAATTTTATGCCCCCGCTGTAGCATATGGGGGCATTAAGTTTTACCCTTGTCCGTCAGTTTGTCCCCAAGTTGGTTTCTGTTCTCTAACTTTAGTTTGCCTCAACCAAACATTATGAAACTTAAACAAAATGCTTTTTACCACAAAACAAAGATCAAGTTTGAATTTTGGTGGTGTCACTTAAACTATTCTTAGAGTTATGCCCCTTTACTAATGGAAAATCACATTCTGCAAATAGATCAAAGTAAAAAATCTCAAAATAACAATATAAAGTGATTGTTATTTGACTAGTTAAGTAAAAAACTAAAAAATCTCAAAATAAAACATTTGTTTCAAAGTACATTTTTGTACATTGTGGCTATACAAATTCACTGCAACAAGCACTCTGTGAGTATTGCATGGCAATACATAGTGCCCTACCGGTTATAAATTCATTGTATTGGAACAAAATTCTAACCTGATCTATAACTTGTGAAAAAAGTGTTGAAAACTGATTATTTAAGTGAATTTACTAAGTCCAAGGACCATAACTCTGCACAAGTCATCAGTCCGGAACAAAATTCGAACTTGATCTGTAACTTGTCATGATAAAACTGTATACCAATTTTCAAATCAATATCTTTAAGCATGGCGGAAAAAAGTGTGGAAAACTGATTATTAGAGTGAATTTTCTAAGTCCAAAGACCATAACTTTGCACAAAATCATCAGACCGGAACAAAATTCGAACTTGAACTGTAACTTGTCATGATAGAACTATATACCAATTGATAAATCAATATCTTCAAGAATAACAAAAAAAAGTGCAGAAAACTGATTATTTTAGTGATTTTTCTAAGTCAAAGGACCACAACTCTGCACAAAATCATCAGACAGGAACAAAATTCGAACTTGATCTGTAACTTGTCATGATAAAACAATACACGAAATATCAAATCAATATCTTCAAGCATGAAGAAAAAAAGTGTGGAAAACTGATTTGCCAGACTGACGGATGGACAGACAGAGTGCAAACCTAAAGTCCCCTTCGATTTCGTAGGTAGGGGACTAATAAGGAACATTCTAATATACATGTAAGACACTTATTAGATTATGATATGTTTAAATCCAGAAATAGAACAGTGCTGCACTACTTGATTTATTTCATTTGATTGCCAAGGTTAATGTATAAAATTTGTAACTTCACACCTTCCCACATATCCTCCAGTCCATTTAGAAATATACAGCTCCTATGTCTAGTCATAAATATATAAATTTACCTGTTGTTTCCACAGGTAGAGGAGTAGCAGTAAAGATAGTGGTGTCAATGTCATCTGGTACCTTCCCTTCGTCTCCAGGCCCTAGTTCAATCTCTGCTTCAAAATCTAAAATTATTTAATGAAATCCATATCCCTTACCGAAAAATAAGCTCTGCGGCAAACATTTGCCGCAAGTTTGCAGCAAACATTGCCGCAAGCTTGCAGCAAACATTTGCTGCAAACTTGCCGCAACCATTTTACCATGCAAATGAAGGTTGCGGCAAGCTTGCTGCAAACATAATTATGCAAATAAGATTTGCCGCAAGCTTGCGGCAATTGTTTGCTGCAAGCTTGCGGCAATTGTTTGTTGCAAACTTGCGGCAAACTTGCAGGAACTACACATTATACCAATGTCATGTGTGTAGACATATTCAATTTATCTCTTTCAAATTACACAGCAACATTTTTAAAAAATCAATTCATGCCTGTATACAAACAGTCATTGAAAGAGTTCTTGCAAACTTACGAGATTTAAGGAAATACATACATGCATTTGAGTTTGGAAAAAGGGGGCAGGGGTCATTCTCAAATGACATCATATACCTGTATTAAGAAATGAAAAAGGATAAATCTCAAATGTGTATTGAGAATAAAGCTAGGTAACAATTGCATAACAGAATTGAACTTAGTTTTAATAAACATGGTACAGTACATCAGTTACAAAATTCAAACTTATAATAGCTAAAGTTTTTCATTACACACATACATGTATATATAGTTGCTTACTTTATTATGTATGATGATAACATTAATTATTTTATTAAAACATTCTATGAATAATTTGTACTTACAAAATTACATACTGAATATCTTTATCTATTGAACCAAAATGCCTCCTTGATCTCTTATTTGTGAAATGCATTTTCCAAACACAACCAACATGACCTAGCCACAATTTCAAATTGATAACTTCCAGGAAGTGCCAACTAGGCATGCCCAGTCAATATTGTGTAATTCTTGCAATGTTCTGGCAAACATATAGAATGGTCAAAGTTTTCAGCAATCTTGCGGCAAACATATAGAATGGTCAAAGTTTTCTGCAATCTTGCGGCAAACAATCTTTATAATTTTAAACTTTCTGGCAATCTTACGGCAAACATTGATGTTTCTGCAAACTTGCCGCAAGCTTGCAGCAAAAAGCTGCAATGTTTGCCGGAAGTTTGCAGCTAGCGGCAAACATCTGCAAACACTATTTTCTGTGTTCCTGCAAACTTTTTGTTTGCCGCAAGCTTGCAGCAAGTCTGCTGCAAGTTTGCGGCAAACAATTCAGTTCCATAAGGGATATTATCTATTATAAATTAATAAAATTATCTTCCCTTCATATTTAAAATGATTTTATTTTTTGAAATATACACTTAATGCTTTTTTATACTTTCATCTATAAATTTGAAGTTTTAGATGATTTTGTTGTATATTGCAAGATATTTCATGTACTTGGTAACTATTTTCTATTTAGCAAAAAAAATTACTTTTGCAACTTGCCCAACACAGATGCTCAGAAAAAAAATCTACATTAAATTATAATTTCAGCCAGATAAATAATCTAAAGAAAACTTGTCAACAAAAAGAAAAAAGACACTATTTATTATATTTGTTTATCTGGAGTTCACCTACCTACATGTACATTTTGTATATACTAAATTAATTTACAGAATTTTACCAATTTGATTTGTTCAGGAATATTCACCTTTAAAACTAAATTTTACAAGGTGGATCCTAAATGGCGGGTAAAAAATGATAGTACTGACAGTTATTTTTACTTTGTGTGATGTCAACTTATGAACTATGATATGGTTAAAAGATTTTCGATATTGTACATTTCATGATCAATTATTTAAAAAAAATATAATCTGAAAAATTTCAAATACATACATGTAAGCAATATTAAAAAAAAACATTCAAAATAATTGAAATAACAACCAATATGTTGTTGTTGTTCAAGATAAAATATGAAATCTATAATAATGAAGTTATTCCAACAAAATTAAATGAT